GGCTCCTGGCAATGTGGGCCGTGTGTCCTTGTCCTTTGGGACCTGTCCCACAGCCCTGTCATCCCGTGTTGTCTGCACTGTCTTCAGCAGTGACTTAGCCTGTTTCTATCACTGAGATGTAAGTTTGAGTTAGAGACTGCATTATTTTATTTCAAGCATTACACTTAGAAAATATTTTAAACCCACACACACACACACAAAACAAAACATAGTAAAACAGAGTCCAGGCAGAAAGGGCCATGTGAGGGTCAAGGGCATAGCAGTGAGACAGCATATTAGGGGAGCTTGCAATAATTTGACATTCTGGACTATTGGTATTGACTCTAAAAGCAGTATAAAACATAAAAGCACAGAGTCAGATGGTATAAATATATGACTTAGAAGAAAGGCTATTTCTCAGCCAGCAGAAACTGTTAGAATATAAGGATTATTTCATTGAGATTTTTCATGTCATAGGATTCTTTCCTTTAAAAAATAAGAATTTTTCACTACAGTTCATGCTTTTGTATAAATTTTATTTTTCTAAGAATAATAAATTTTTTCAACACTAATGTATTTTCTTAATTGGAAATTCAGAATAGTGGTATAATAACATGAGGAATATCTCTCAAGTGGTCTTCAGCAAGCAATCTATAAGCTTGCATGTAACTTTTACCACCACCTAGTGTTAGTTGGAAATATTACCATATCATTGGCTTATGATGCTAAATAAGAACGACAAATACTTTCACAGTGTTCTGCTGGGGAGCTGCTTTGTCTAAGACAAAATGCAGATTAGTAGTGGCCAGAGAAGGAGTGTTCAGAATGGCTTAGTTTACTGTATTATGTTATATGTTCTGTTGTATTATTTTCATTGTCTGAGTGTTCAGTTTAAGAAAGAATTAAAATTAAAAACTATTAGTGGAATTAATGTGCCTAGAAGATTCTCCTCTAAAGTGTTCTCATTAGGCTAATAGCTAAATATTAAACAGTGTGTCAGCAGCAGAAGTCATAAGCTTCTGTTCTGATGCAGCTATGATTGGCCCTTAGAGGTAAGAGGGCATCTGGTGCCTGCCTTGCCTTTTCTTGTCTTTCTTTTTTCAGTACATAGTACAGTGCCTTGCACATAGTAAATTTAAACTGTTGAAGGAACAAATTAAAGTAAGAGAGAAAGTTGGAGACACCAAAAATTGAAATGTTGCCTGGCCAGGCATTGCTCGGCAGTTGAGCATCGACCTATGGTCTAGGAGATCGAGGTTTGATTCCCAGTCAGGGCACATGCCCAGATTTCAGGTTCAATCCCTACTGGGGTGTGTAGGCGGCAGCCAATCAATGACTCATCATTGATGTTTCTATCTCTCTCCCTCTCCCTTCCTCTCTCTGAAATCAATAAAGACATATTAAAAAAAAATGAAATGTTAGCATTTTCCATGTAAAGGAATGACTTGAATTTTAGTATCATAGAGATTTGGAAAATGAGCATATTTTAGTAGGTGTACTTTTAAAGGATATAAAGGTGTTTTGTTTGCAGGTTTGATTTTGGTCTAGCCATTTCCTGCTTAAATGGAAAGACTGAGGAAGCACAGTCCTCTCTTATAGGATGGGCTTGAAGTTGTTTAAATGAAGCTTAAATGAAGCACAGCTTAAATGAAGCAATAGTGATACTGGGGAAAAGGTGATTCATCACTTTCTAAATCATTGAAAGACTAACTTAAAATGAAACTGGCTCAATTGCATAATACAGGATGGGGCAAAAGTAGGTTTATAGTTGTTGGTATGGAAAATAATATAGTAATTAATAAATAATAATACAAGAATAAACTCTGTATTTCACTTAGTCATAACTGTAAACCTACTTTTACCTCACCCTGTATAGTCTGTGCTGAACAAATCTAGATGAAGGCATTAAAATTTGTAATTAAAAGTAACCATAAATTTTTGGTTGGCTTACTCCTGTAGCCCCATGTAATCATTTTTAGAACTCCTTTTATCCCTCAGAGTTTTCTTGTTTAGATGATCAATTATATAGCCACCCTATGTATATCAATAGATTTATAAGCATTTTTTCACTTTCTCATTAAAATTTTGGAAAGTTTTGAAAAATCATAGTTGAAGATACTACATACCATTCATTAAAAAAAATATTTAAGAGGTATAATTTACATACCATAAAATTAATCCATTTTAAATGTGCAAATTGAATGATTTTTAGCAAATTACAGTTTTTCAGCCAACATTACGATACAATTTTAGACGCATTTTATCATCCCCAAATGTTCCTTTAATTGCAGTTAATTCCCACTCCTATATCCAGTTATAGATAAACCCCTGATCTCCTTTCTCTCTTGAAAAGTTGCCCTTTTTGGATAACTAACATAAATGTAATTATACAATATGTAATTTTTTTTGCATCTGGCTTCTTTTACTTAGCATAATATTTTTCAGGGTTATGTTGTAACGTGTGACTTGCTTATTCCTTTATATGGCTGAATACCATTCCATTATGTGAATATAAAGCATTTTGTTTTTAAAAGTTGATGAACATTTGGATTGTTTTCAATATTTGGCTGTTAGGAGTAATCCTGCTGTGAACAATCATGTTCATGTCTTTGTGGAGACACGTGTTGTTTTGTTTCTTAGATAGATTCCTAGGAGATTTGCTGAGTCATATGGCAAGTTTCTGTTTAACTTTTTAAGTAATTGCAAACTGTTCTCCAAAATTGCTATACCATTTTACATTCCCTCCAGCAGTGTGTAAGAGTTTGTTTTCCTTATACTCACCAACACTTGGTATTATCTGTCTTTTTTATTAGAGCCACTCTAGCAGGTGTCAAGTGGTATTTTCTTGTGGTTTTGATTTGCATGCCCTTAATGACTAATGACATTGAGAACCTTTCATGTGCTTATTGATTATTCACATATCTTCTTTGGAAAAATCTCTATTTTAAGTCTTTTACCATTTTTTAAAAAATTTATCTTTATTGTTGAAAGTATTACAGATACCCCCCCTTTTCCCCCCAATTGATCGCTCTACCCTGAATGCGTTGCTCCCCCCCACCGCCTTCACCACACTATTGTCTGTGTCCATAGGTTATGCACATATGCATATCAGTTCTTTGATTAATCTCTCCCCACCCACTCCCCCACTCCCACCTTCCCACTGAGATTCATCAGTCTGTTCCATGCTTCTGTGTCTCTGAATCTATTTTGTTCCTCAGTC